GCCATTGCTGTTCTCACCTCCACCCACCAGGGATGCTGCAGGCCAGGGTGCTGGTATTTAGAAAGTGGCCAGTTAGACTAGAACAAGCTGTTCCTAGAAAATCTCCCCACTCTTCCTGGGGCATCACATGCTTCCGCTCAGACTTGCTGGCCCAATCCCAGTCCACTTTTATTATGAAAAAGCAGCCTTGAGTGTTGAGCTGGCACTCGGTATTTATATATATATGGGTGTGCATGTGCATGTCTGTGCATGTGCTGGAGGCTTTTGTGATTGGTGCTTATTATAGAAATCTCAAAAATAGATGCCTGCAAAAGCGCAGAAGCATCCCTTCCCCAGCAGGAGCCATGAAACTCTCCCTTTATTATGGCACCAAAGGGGCCTCGCAGCCGCCAGGGCCCAGTTGGCAAGTGCAGTGTGGAGCCTCCCGGGAGGACCCCACAGCCCCCTAGGGCATTGTTCTGGGGAGATCTGAAAGATGCCTGCTGGGTTCCCTAGAATTGTTCCATCAAAAACAGCCTGTGGGCAGTGAGAACAAGCTCTAAAAATAACTGACAGCCTGGTGGGCCCCAGCCCTCATACGGGTTTCCAGGTCGGAGAGGGCTGTGTGTGCACGCCTGTGTGTGTGTGTGTGTGTGCGCGCACATGTGTGTACATACATGCATGTGCTTATGATCTCGTTCTGGAATCTGAAATGTGCTGTGTTCTGCCTCCAGTGCCACGGTCTCTCCATCGATGGTTACGTCCTCCCATCCTCAACGACCCGAGAGGTACGATGAGAAAAATGCAGGCACGGGCCCCGCTCTGGGTTCACAGCAAGGGCTTCATTGCACGATCTGAGCTCCTGTGCTTCTTTCAAGCTCATTCTAATTGACAGGCCATTTGCAGGTTGGAGCTGTCTAGCGACTTCACCCTTACATGTTGCAAAACGTCTTTCATGCATTTATGAGCCTCGGCCTTTTTCTTTTCTTCACCTGAGACTAAGCATTTCTGGGTTAGCAAGCTGTTTTCCTTTGCCAGACACCCCTTAGACCCATGTTGAAAGAAAGGAGCCGATCTCCACGCCACACTGGCCTGCCCCCCAGCCAGCCTTCTCGGCCCTTTTCTCCGACTAAAAACAGTCATTGTCCCTAGGTGATTTGTCATTCTTTTTAGTGTGAATTTTGTTAGTCTTCCCCCACCCAAAGCACCATGCTTTATGCTGCAAGGAATAATGAAGAGGAAAGAGAAAGCAGAATTGGTCACTGCTCCCTAGAAGCTATAGTCCATGGTGGGAAAGGTAGATAAATCAGGCTCAGACAGGCTGACTCTTGCTCTGAGGGCTGCCACCAGCAGAATCCAGACAGTGACCAGAAAGGGGGCAGCAGTGGTGCTGAGCCCTGAGCCCAGGCAGTGATACTGTCACCCTTGGTTCCTTGGTGATAGGGCTACCTCTGTCCTGTCTCTCACTGGTGGTCACCTGCCCGTCCCTTTGCTAGATGACCCCGCATGAGATCAAGTTTGCTGTCCACGTCGAGTCAGTGCTGAACCGCGTGCCCCAGCCCGAGTACCGGCAGCTGTTGGTGGAGGCCATCATGGTGCTGACGCTGCTCTCGGACACGGAGATGACCAGCATCGGGGGCATCATCCACGTGGACCAGATCGTGCAGATGGCCAGTCAGCTGTTCTTGCAGGACCAGGTGGGAGTGCCAGGGAGCCAGGTTGGCTGGCATTTATCTGTTGAGGCTGGAGACTCTGTGTCCAATAGGAAAGAATATACTTGAACTAAGAAAATATCCTCACAGATGGGGAAAAAATGTCAACCACTTGGTTGGTTAGAGAATGGTACAGTGACCACTTGGGAAATCTCAGGACCTTTGGAGATGGATAGGCCTGTCTCAGTGCAGGTTTTATCCACACACGACCACTTGCAACACAGGACCCGGGCCGAACCCATTATCCTGTATGCAAACCAAGTTCAGCAAAGTGGTCCTCTCATCATAGTCAATGAAGAGCTGCAAACTAGGGTGCGTGATGAGAGAGTGCAGGGGCCAGAGGAGGGGTGGGGCATCCCCCCTGGCAGCGCTGGCTGTGTGCCTTCAGCATTGGAGCTTCTCAGGAGAACAAGGGCCTCTAGCAACCCTCACCCTGCCCAGGTTGACCCTCCGCCAACACGCAGAAGCGTGACGGGGAGTAAGGGCTCTGCTTATTGTCCCCTCTGCCCTTTCCTACTGCAGGTGTCGATTGGAGCCATGGACACCCTGGAGAAAGACCAAGCCACGGGAATCTGCCACTTCTTTTATGACAGTGCACCGAGTGGGGCTTATGGGACCATGACCTACCTGACAAAAGCAGTGGCTTCTCATCTGCAGGAATTGTTGCCCAATTCAGGCTGCCAGATGCAGTAGGGTCTCGCCTAGAAACATGACCACACACTGAATCTGTCACATGGCCCCTAGCCTTATTGGGAACCTTCTATCTCCCCCCCCGCCAAGATCCCCTGTGCTATCAGGAAAGCATGTCCCATCAAAAACACTCACGGGGGGACGCCGGCAGCACTCACCCTGTGACTGATGTCTGTTAAAGCCTCAGAGATAGACAGAGCTGAGGAATCCTCTGCTCCCCCAGCGAGCGCCTGGGATCATTTTCTAGGTTCATTTCGCTGGAACATTTGTCGCAGCATCTGGTCTTACGGACTCTGAGGAGGAATTGGAAATTGGTCTCTTTTGAGTGCAGAGGGAACTGAGAAGCCAGCTTAAATTGGCTCTTGCAGAAAGTTACAGAAATAGTTTCGATGAGCTAGTGCCACATCCTAAGATGCAAAGATCCTCTGGAGGCAGCAGCCAGACAAGCAGACCTTGACAAGGGCCACCTCTTCACAGGATGCAGTCAGTCTGTGCACCAAACTCTTCACCAAATAGAACGCGTGCGTCTCTGTGGAACTGGGGTTTTCTTGTGCCTTGCTTGCTTTCATAGCCTTGCGTTGTACTGGCATGGCTGCCTTCATGTAGCATAATTCTCTATCCCTAAGACTTAGAAAATTCCTCTTCATTCACCTTGGCTCATGGTCTTAAAGGGTTTTTATCCTGGCTTCCCATGAACTGGGGTTTTCTCTTGCCTTAGGAAAAATCCCGAATCTTCTGGAATCTAGGGAAAAAAAGGCTAGACTCTTCATGTAGCCAGGCAAGCAGTTGTTTCAGGGCTAGGCCTGTGGCCCCTGCTCGTGTAGGGTGAGCGCCCCGCAGAGGATACTTTCCTCCCATGCTCTGCGCGAGGCGTCACGGGGTGAGCGCGAGTCAGCAGTGCCGTGGTACTGAGCGGGTGTGTCACTGCAGAAACAATGCTTCCCTCTGAAAAGCAGAGCCAGCTGGGAACCTGTACCTTCTTGGTACAGTTTGGTCTTCACTCTCTGGTGGGTGTGGTCAGAGGCACCAGTTGGAAGGGGGCAATGTTGAGTCAGGTGCCAGGGTCTGGCAAATCTTTTGCCAAGGTCCTGGCAATGGAGTTTCTCTTGAAGCATTGTCTTACCTTGGGGGAAGGAAACTAAAGCAATGGGAAAACAGTTTCTGTAAATAATAAACCTTGGAAGACAAATGCTTACCCAATGGCCAGAAGGCACGCTCTGTCTGGTTGAGAGCAATTGGCTAGACGGTGGTGACTCTGCCTCTGAAATGGAAACAAGGCTGTGGGATCGTTACCTTGGACATCTGTGTGGAGGTGAAGCGATCACCATGCCCTAGCTGCTTTGAGTGGGCATCGTGATGCCCAGTGCCCCTCAGAGCCAAGATGCAATATTGCTGGTTATTCCTGAAGCAGAGGCGAGGCAGGTGGCCTCAGACGCCTGACAGCTTCCTGGCAGAGTCCTCTTCAGGTTGAGCCAAACCCTTTGCAGTCTAGAAGAGTCTCAGCACTCCCATCTTGGTGTGCAGGCTCAGGCCACAGGGGACTTCCATGCCGTGCCTTTGTTTCCATTTCTTCCAAACCGTGACGCTCTCCTTGCAGAGGTGCAGAGTAGTTAGTTAGGTAAAGGAAAATCCCCCGGAGTCTCCTTATCTTCCTACAGTGGACTTATGCGTTTCTTGCATTTGAGGGGCAGATCCCAGAGACCAGGAGGGCGGCACATGAGCAGGCATGGCACCAGGCCCTTGCCCCCTGGGGCCACCCAATTCCCTCCCCATCCTGGCGGGCCACAGTGTTGGTGGGCCTGGAGGGACACGCAGGACAACAGCCACTGACCAGAACAGCTCTTCCCTCGCAAGCTGGTTTGCTCCCTTTGCCCCTGAGGCTCCATGGGGCGCAGCCTCCCAGGTCTAGGGGTCACATTTTCATAGCCTTCACATGTGTGTCTTTAAAATGTGCTGGACAGAAACAAGAGTCTTGGAGACGACATGTAATTCACCTGCTGGGTGGATCATTTCAAACAGATAATGTGGGCAAGGTATAAGGTTTAAGCCATGAAAGTTTTTCTTGGAAGAAGCTCAGGAAGAGTTAGAGCCCTCCAGAATGAGCCAGGTGCTAATTTAGAACAGTTACCTGCCTGCCGATGATGATGATGTGCTCAGCCACTGAGCCGCGGGCTGAGAGAGGAGCCGTAATAAGCGATTCCACTGAGCCTTCCAGCCACTCCTTTGAAACCTCTTTAAAATGAAATGCTGAAATAGGACCGCATTTCCACAGGCATCAAGCTGTCAGCTTCAAAGGAGAACAGGCTTCTGAGGCCTGGCTCCTGCCCGAGGAGAGGAGCAGATGTTCGAGGGCAGAGGGCCTGTCCTGACAGCACCTGCGGGGGGGTGGGGGGGATGGGGGGAGAGTAGGGGTGGGAGGGGTCTTGGGACTTGATTTCTAGGCCAGGTGAGAGTGGCCTGGCAGCCACCTTGAGCCTGGGGGTTGGGGGGCTGCAGCTAGGAACTTCTGCCTTCCGCCTCGGAGCCAAGAAGTCAATTTGAACCTTTGCTGGGGCTCCGGATTAGCATGTTCTGTCTTGGAGGGCAAGCTGGTGAGGCCAAGAACAAGCATTGCTTTTAACAACTTCAGCTGAAAAGCAGCTGGCACCCCACCTGCTGCTGTCCCTGGCTCTCACCAGAGGTGAATTCAGCATACGTGCCACTCTGCCAGTGCCTCTGTGATCCTGTGCAAGTGAGCCGACCACTGTGTACCTCAGTTTACCCATCCACTAAAAAGTGCAAAAGGCCGATGGAGCAGCCCAAGACTAAATGTGGAGGCGTGACGTGAACTCCCCCTCCTCCTCCGGCTGAAGGCTTCATGCTTAGAGGAAACCAGATATGCCCTATGGCAACCCTGCCTGGAATTGTGGGGGGCTGAGGGGAGGAGGAGGGGGAGACCCGGCCTTTCAGGCCCTGGGGCTTGAGGGGTGGGGCTCCATTAGGAGGTGAGTTGGTGGGTGGTGAAGGGGAGGAGAGATCATCAGGGCTCAGCTGCCTGAACAGAGGATGAAAATCCTCCCTGTGCAAAAAAAGAAAAGACCCCAGAGCAGGAGGCAGCAAACGCAATTTGGCAGGTGGTTGATGCCGTTTGTTTCTGGACAAGAAGACAGGCGGCTTGGCCACCCTTGCTGGAAATTGCAGCAGAACCATCAATTCTATTGACACCCGCATCAGGCTGGCAAATAGCTTTTGTCTTTCCTGCTTTCTTCTTGTCAGAGATTTCAAAGGGTACAAAAGCCCCCCACACCCTCCACTGCCCTTTGCGCCATAATCTTTCAAGGTTACTTATGCTTTTGAAGTCCCTGCCATCTGCTCCGCTGGTCTGTACTTTGCAGGATGTGAGAACACCGCGTTCCCAGAATGCCTTCTGTTGTCCCCGACGTGGCCGCTGATGGCTCTGACTGTGAGGGGAAAAGAAAGCTGTGCTGTGGCCCTCTTAGCCCAGTCCCTGCTTTGTCCCTCAAAAAGCCAGTTAGGAAAGCCACGGCCTTGACTTACCAAGAGAATTCTCTGAGAAATGAGAAGACCAAAAACTGCAAGAGTGTCTGCGCTGCAGTTGAATACTAGGTGTGTCTGGTGATGCCTGAGAGAGGGAAAAACTCCATCAGACAACTACCATGGTTTTCTTTAGAGGAACATATGTGCACTTTTGGCAAAAAATGCCGTCTTAGGAGGACTGGAATCGGAAGCAGTGAACTCCGAAGTCACGTAATTCATCCCTCTGTCTTCTTGCAGTGTTTAAACTCTTCTGAAAAATGCATGAATCCAACATGAATCCCAGCATTTCTGCCATGTCCTCTGAGAGCCAGGCAGAAATACAGCCTGGTCCGGGGGGTGGGGGGTGGAAAAGCATCTCTTCTGTGTTTGAAGGCCCCTGAGGAAGCCCCAGGGGCTCCCCTGGTGTGCCTGGCACTGGCCTACCAGGGTGTTGGCATCCCGAGCCAGATCCTGTGCAGCATCAGCCCAACCCTTGCAGGTGGCCACCACCCCTTCCCCCTACAGCTGGTGCAGCTGAGGTGCCAGGCTCTGCCAAGGGCAAGCTGCAGCTGAATTGGGCAAGAGGGGATGGTTGCACCTTCCACATCTCCTTTTTGTGAAAGACCTTTCCAGATACAGACCCATGATGGACTTGCCGAAGAGAAATCCCAGTAACTGGCTCTAATCTCTGTGCCACCAGCTGCCATTGTATCTAAGTTCATTTGCAAATAACAGAAAAGTAGGTTTATTAAAGAATATTGGGCCAGGCACGGTGGCTCATGCCTATTTTTAATCCTAGCACTTTGGGAGGCTGAGGTGGGTGGATCACCTGAGGTCAGGAGTTCAAGACCAGCCTGACCAACACGGAGAAACCCCGTCTCTACTGAAAATATAACAATTACCCGGGTGTGGTGGTGCATGCCTGTAATCCCAGCTGCTCGGGAGGCTGAGGCAGGAGAATCGCTTGAACCCGGGAAGCAGAGGTTGTGGTGAGCCGAGATCCACCATTGCACTCCAGCCTGGTCAATGAGAGCGAAACTCCGTCTCAGGGAAAAAAAAAAAAAAGAATATTGGATAGGTCACATGGTCACCAGCCTAAGCAGTTCCCCAGCCAGGACCAAGATCAAGATCCCATGTCACTCCCCAGTACTCCCAGGTTCACACCCTGGGGCTTGCACCACAGACACCTGCAAGGCTGAACACTGTCACTGGGGCCACTGCCTCTGCTCTTTTGGAAACTAAATGTAGAGGCTTCTTATCACCAAAAGGAATTTTAAACAGCCACTACCTGCCACTTCAAGGTCTCAGGCAAGCATGCTGCCTTGGCTGAGGGGAGAGGTGAGAAAAACCAGCATCCATCAGGGCGAGGTGCTTGCGCCTGTAATCCCAGCACTTTGGGAGGCTGAGGTGGGTGGATCATGAGATCAGGCGTTCAAGACCAGAGTGGCCAACATGGTGAAACCCCGTCTCTACTAAAAAGCACAAAAAATTAACCGGGCATGTTGGCAGGCACCTGTAATCCCAGCTACTTGGGAGGCTAAGGCAGAGAATTGCTTGAACCTGGTTGGCAGAGGCTGCAGTGAGCCAAGATCATACCGTTGCACTCCAGCATAGGCAACAGAGTGAAACTCCCATCTCAAAAAGAAGAAAAACCAGCATCCAGCCAGGCAGAGTGGCTCATGCCTGTAATCCTGGTGCTTTGGGAGGCCTAGGCAGGAGGATCTCTTGAACCCAGGAGCTCAAGACCAGCCTTGGCAACAATGTGAGAACCTCCCTACAAGAAATAAAATCAGCCAGGCACAGGGGTGTGTACCTGTGGTCCCGGCTACTCAGGAGGCTGAGATGGGAGGGTCACTTGAACCTGTGAGGTTGAGGCTGTAGTGAGCTGTGATTGCACCACTGCACTCCAGCCTGGGTGACAGAACAAGACCCTGTCTCAAAAGAAGCCAGCATCCAAGAATTCTGCCTTCCAAAGTGGAGATCCCCTGAACATAGGAAGGAGGTTCAGATGCCGAACATCCAAAACTCAGCGTCTGCTCCAGCCGGCATGCTTGCTTTTCATTCCTCTGTCCAGAAAACAAGGACCTGTGCCCTCACCAGGGTCTGCCCTGGAGAGCTGACACAGAGGCACGTTTGCCCCTGAAGAAGGCTGTGCATCAGGAGTCGAGAGGGGTCTACAGGAACCCCTCCCCACCCCAAGCACATGGAAGCCATCCTGGCATCCACTGCT